GCAGCAAGCTGCACGCCTTCATCTGGGACTCAGCGGTGCTGGAATTCGAGGCGTCTCAGAAGTGCGACCTGGTGACCACGGGCGAGCTGTTCTTCCGCTCAGGCTTCGGCATTGGCATGCGCAAGGACAGTCCCTGGAAGCAGAATGTCTCCCTGTCCATCCTCAAGTGAGCCCCCACCCCGCAGCGGGCGCCCGTGCCCCGCCCACCGATGCCCCTCAGGAACCACCTACCGGCCCCAGAGCAAATCGAGGCTCCGCTGACCCATAGACCCAGCCCGTGCTGGGCTCCGCCCTGTTCACGCTCTCTTGCTCGCCCAGGTCCCATGAGAACGGCTTTATGGAAGACCTGGATAAGACCTGGGTCAGGTACCAGGAGTGCGATTCGCGCAGCAACGCCCCTGCGACCCTCACCTTCGAGAACATGGCAGGTGGGGCTCCCCGCTACCCACACCTCCATCCTCTGGCCCAGGGTGGGTTCGGGGGGCTGAAGGCTGTACTCCGCTCACAGGGGTCTTCATGCTGGTGGCTGGGGGCATCGTGGCCGGCATCTTCCTGATATTCATCGAGATTGCCTATAAGCGGCACAAGGACGCCCGCCGCAAGCAGATGCAGCTGGCCTTTGCCGCGGTGAACGTGTGGAGAAAAAACCTGCAGGTAGGGCAGGCCACCCTCTGAGGCCTGGTGCCCATGGCCCGGCCGGCCCGGCCCTCCTCTGACCCCGCAGGCCCTGGCATTGGCCCTGCCCCGGGCACGAGCGCGGGAGCCCCCGTGGGCAGGACTGGAGCTGGGAGCCATGGCCAGGGGCAGCGGTGAGTGCTCCTGGGCTCCCGGGCAGCGGTGTCGGGAGGGCTGCCTGGAGGTGGCCACCACTTCAAAGTAGGGCCAAGGGAGGCCTGGCAGCATCTCCAGAGTCGCCCCCTGGCGCCCATTCCGTAAGAAGGCAGGGTAAGACAGGGACACTTCGTGTAGTGGGAGTCCCAGATTACCTCTGCCCTTCGCTGCCCTGGCCACCTTGACATTCTCCAATCCCCTTCCCTGCTGTGTCCGTGTGCTCTGTGGTTCTGGGTGATAGGGGCTGGCAGGCCCAGCGGCCCTGGCTGTATCTGTGGGGAGTTGCTGCCTGCAGGGAGGCTGGGGTCCGCAGCCTGACCACTGAGCCAGGGGAGGCAACATTCCCACAGTTGGCTTCTGGTTGTCCCGTTGCTTCTCTTTCTCTGGGTGGCTTCCGGAGCTGGGTCCTGAGCAGGGGGCCCCTGGCCTAGGACACTGCTGGTGTGATAGCAAAGGCCATTGGGCGAGGTACAGGCTGGCACCCCACCTCCCATCAGTCCACTCTTGCTCTTGGTTCTACAGGCCTCTGGCCACTCTCTCTCTCAGGCATAAGGGCCACAGAGCCTGGGCCGGGGTTCTGGGGGCTGCCTTTTCCACTTCCAAGTCTGTCTCCTCACCATGTGCCTTCAGCTGCACCCCCAGGTCCCCCACTGTCTCTTGGTGACTAGCCCCTCTGTGCAGAGGACATGGGGTGCCGCCTCCAGCCCTTGGAGGGCAGCAGTCTACACCACCCTCCTCCCGGGGACCCCGGTGCACGCCCAGAGAAGAGCACAGTCAGGAACCCCCAGCCCAGCCCCAGCAGCAGCAAGGTCAGGAGGAGCAAGCCTGGGCAGGAGAGGCAGCCGGCTTCCAGCGGCCGTCTCAGCCGTCCAGCACAGGGAGGCAGGCAGGCCCGAGGGCCCGAGTGGCCGGGCAGGCGAGGGCAGGTGTGGCCACACCCTTAGCCGTCTAATCACTATACATATTCATTTTAGGATAGAAAGAGTGGTAGAGCAGAACCAGACCCTAAAAAGAAAGCCACATTTAGGGCTATCACCTCCACCCTGGCCTCCAGCTTCAAGAGACGTAGGTCCTCCAGAGACACGGTAAGGGGGACACCCCGTCACACGCCCGCCCGTGTCTCCGTCCCCTTCATCCCACCCTGTCACTCTCTCCAGAGCTGGCCCCCTCGGCCCAGCCCTCTTGGCGAAGTGCTCTCTCTCTCTCCTCATCCCCCAACCCCACTCCAGTCTTTCTCTGGCCCCCCTCCTTTGCGCTTTCTCGGTCCTGTCTCTCTGTGTGTCTCTCTACCCTGGTCTCTCACCTCCCCCTAGCCCCCCCCACCACCACCACCACCATGCCATGACCACCACACACCATCCTGAAGCTGTGTCCTGTCGTCGGTCATCGGTCAGTCAGTCAGTCAGTCACTGCCTCTCAGGGGTGGCACCCTGGCTCTGCGCCCACCAGGAGGCGCCACACCCCATTCCTGCCCTCTGGTTTCTCCCTGAGGGGCCACCACGCCCCTGCGACGTCCCTGGAGGGGGTGGTTGTGACGTCCCATCCCGTCCGTCTGTCTGGCCGCCGGCCCTGCCCCCGACACCTGTGTCACCTGTCTCAGCAGAGCCATGCGTGTTGCATTTTCCATGTGGTCTCTGTGTGGGCCGGGGGCTGGGGATCGGGCCTGGGTCCCTGCACTGGGCAGCTGGGGCCTGGAGCTGGGATCTGGCCAGGCCCAGGGGGCTGTGTTGGGGTGGGGGGTGGAGGGTGGGAAGATGGGACGGGTCCAGGCTGAGCAGGGCTCCCGAAAAAGTGGTAGCAACTGCAGGGGGACAGGGAAGTTCCCAGAGAGTAGCCCAGGAAAGCGGATGGGGCCTGTAGGGCAGAGACCAGCCTCAGCTCCTGACTCAGCCTCACCCTTAGGGCCCCCCGGTCAGAACCAGGCCTCTCCCTCTTTTTAAGGCTTCTTGCCTCAGTCAGCTAGCTTCTCAGTACACGTGACAGACAGGCTTTCTTGGTACAGGAAGTCCCAAAAGGCATGAAACCTTGCTCAGGGAAACCTGGTCCCAGGCCAGCCAGGGAGCGGGCCTGGCGCTCAGCCCAGAGCCACCCTGTCTCTGGCGGATGTGACCTCCCGCTCACTGCCCTCTGCCCACCAGAAGCCTCCAACCCCAAGTAGGATGTCCAGAGCCACTCAGCTCCCTGACCAGGGGACAGAAAACACCAGAGTCCCAGCAAGAGGCATCAGGGCTCCCTCCAAGAGAGGTCTGGCAGGGCAGCAGACTAGGGAGGCGGCTGGGACTGGGTCGGGAGAAGAAGGGTGAGAAACGGGCTGGAGCAGGTGAGGCCGTGAGACCAGCCCAGGTTGGGGGCGGGGGGGAGCCGAGGCCCTGCCCCCCCAAAGTGGGCAGAGCCAGGGTGGGAGTAGGGGCAACCCAGGAAGAGGGGGTGGGCAGCAGACAAGGGGTGTAGTGCCCAGGTCGCAGGGTGGCTGGAAGGGGAGCACAGAAACCCTTGCAGGCAGTGGGCAACGTTCAGATGGGGACCCCGAGTGCCAGGCCCTGCCTGGAGCAAACACACTGTGTAGGTGACCCACAGGTACCTCAGACTCTTGGTGCCCTTCCTGGCTTCTGTCCCCACAACTCCCCACCTGAGCCCCCAGGCACCAGCCAGCAGGCAACTGCTGCATCTGGGGCCCCCTGCTGGGCTGACTCCACAGGGCCACTGCCAGCTGGGGGGCTGGGTGGGGGTGAGCAGCCCGGATCCCCCTGTCTCTGGAGCTGGGAGGCTGTTCAGAGGGAGGCTGGGTGGGGGGCTGCTTGGGGCTGGGGGGCCGGCCCGGCTGCTGAGACCCTCGGCCCCTGTCCTAAGGCTGGTGCGGGCCTGGGCAGCGCTGGGCCCTCAGGGCTGGCTCGGTCCCGGCGGCCGGAGGGCCAGCGGGTATTGACTGTTGGTTCTTATTTATAGAGCACCGGGGGTGGACGCGTCGCTTTGCAAAACCAAAAAGACACAGTGCTGCCGCGACGCGCTAATGAGAGGGAGGAGGGCCAGCTGCAGATGTGTGCCCGGCATAGGGAGAGCTGAGACGCCCTGCCTGCCCTCCTCTGCCCCCTCCCCCGCAGACAGACAGACAGACGGACGGGACAGCGGCCTGGCCCACGCAGAGTCCCCGGAGCACCACGGGGTCAGGGGGAGGAGCGCCCCCCAGCCTCCCCCAGGCCGCGCCTGCCACCTGCCCGCCGGTCAGCTGGCTGGCCAGTCCCCGGCCTGGCCCCGCGCCTGCCCCCGAGCCCCGGGGCTAATGGGCCGCCTTGTCTGTGTATTTGTATTTTACAGCAGTACCAACCCACTGATATCACGGGCCCGCTCAACCTCTCAGATCCCTCGGTCAGCACAGTGGTGTGAGCCTGGAGCCGCCCGCCCGCCCAGTTAGCCCAGCCAAGGACACTGATGGTCCTGCTGCTCGGGAAGGCCCGAGGGACGCCCACCTGCCTCAGAGACTGCCCGCACCGGGCCTCCTCCCACCTGCTGCCTGGCGGGCGGGCCCTGCTGGACCGCGCGGAGCGGCGCGGAAACTCGGGCCAGAGGCTGAGCCGGTTGGGCAGGGCCGCAGGGCGCTCAGGCAGAGGCAGGGCCCTAGGGGTTCAAGCGTGGGGGGGAGGGGCTGCTGCCCTCCAGCAGAGACTGCCCCATCCAGGCCCATCACCACCTGAGCCACCGCCGCCCCCGCCCCCCACCACCAGCGGGCTTGGCCACCCCGTCCTTCAGCGCCTGTTTCTCTGCAGACCAGCTCCTCCTACAAGACTCCCCTCTTTCTGCTGAACCCCACCCTCGCCCCTTGGACCCTTCCGCCGGCTCGCCCTGCCCCCTCATATCAGTCGGGACTCCAGTCCAGCAGCTGTTGGTGGGGGCGCTTCCCGGACCCAGCCCCACTGCGCCTTCTCACCGACACGCCCAGCGGCGCCCCACGCTCCGGCTGTGTGACCCGCCCGCCACCTTGTACAGCCCCAGCCCCCCTGGAGTCTGAGCGCACGCCTTCCCCGCGCCCCGCCCCACCCCCGCGGTCCGGCGTGTGCAGTGGTGTCGCCTAAAGGAATGCCCCAGAAGTCCCGTCTGTGTGCTTGTTGAACCGGCGTGGTGTTGAGGGAGGGTGGGGGATTGGTGCCGGGTGGGAGTGCCCCCAGACCAGCTCAGGCCTGGGCCGCCGCTGGGTTGCCGACGCCCGCCTGCGCCGGCGGGGTGCCCGGCTTGGGGTCTGGGGGTCTCCAGGGCAGGCGGCTGGCGGCGGCACGGCGGCGGCGATGGGCGCGACAGGCAGTAACCACGGAGCCCAACGCCAGGCAGGTGGCCAGACTGGCGAGGAAGGAGAACGGCCCGATCACGTAGATGACAGCCAGGTCGCGCAGCGTCGGCGACTGCGCGCAAGGATTGAAGGCAGACAGGGGGCTGATTGGCAAGCTCCTCTGAGCCTCGCAGACCAGGCCCTCGACCTCTGCGGGACAGACAGCCGAGTCAAACGTCAGGGAAGCCCTCATGCGGTGCAGTGCTTGGTTTCCCTCCCCCATACCTCACCGGTGCCCTCCAGGCTAGTCTGCTGATGCCCCTCACATCTCACCAACCACCCCCAGGTGCACTGGGCTCACGCACCCTCGCTGACCACGTGACCTCCTGACTCACCTAGCACTCTTCAGGCTCGAAGGGCACGCCCCAGCCTCACCTGGTGACCCCCTAGCACTTCCCCATACCTCACCTAGCACCCCTCAGATGCACTGGGATCACCAGGCGCACTGCCCAGGGTAACCTCTTTCCATACTTCACCTAGCACCTCTCAGGTTCCCAGGGCATCCTCTAGCGGCTTCACTTGGCAACACACACACACACACACACACACCCCACCCCCACCCTCCATGCCTCAATAAGCGCTTCTCAAAGGCTCATCAGGTTCCCACACCCACATCTCTCCTGGAAAACCACCTGCCCCCACTCATCTGGAAGCCCCACCCCAAGCTCACTCAGTGCCCCACCGTGAGCTCACCTGGACCACGGGGGTGCTGACTCAGCCAGGTGCAGAGCGAACGCTGCGCACAGCCGCAGGCTCCAGGGTTGCCGCGCAGATGCAGGGAACGAAGAGCCGGTAGGGTGGCCAGCAGGCCGGGTCCTAGGGTGTCCAGTGAGTTGTCCTCCAGGCTCAGCGTGCGCAGCAGCGGGAGCGTGCCCAAGGTTGCGGGTTCCAGGCGCACCAGGCGGTTGTTTGCCAGCGAGAGGTTGCGCAATGCGCGCAGCGGCGCGAAGGTCCCAGGCGCAAGCGCCTCCAGCTGGTTGGAGCCGAGGTCGAGCTGCTGCAACGTCCCTAGACCCCAGAAGGCGCGCGCGTGCACCGCGCGCAGCCCGTTCTCCTGCAGGTCCAGGCGCAGCAGAGCGCTCGCGCCTTGGAAGGCCCCTGGCGGTAGCGAGCGCACACGGTTGCGGTCCAGCAGCAGCGAGTGCAGGCGCCAGCTCAGGCCCGTGGGCACAGCGAGCAGTACGAGCGCCGAGCAGTTAGCCTGGTCGCTAGGCTGGCACGTACAGGACTCGGGGCAGACCGGGTCGCCAGGGGGCCTCAAGGAGGCGGTCGCGGGGCGCATCTGGGCCCAAGCCAGTGACAGTGACAACAGCAGCAGCAAGGGCAGTGGCTGCCAGAAAAAAGGCAGGCTGCCCATGAGGACAGCACCAGGCCAAGGAGGGGGCTCCACGAACTGAGCCCGTCCTGCAGCAGCTGTACCTTTCCTGGGCAGGAGCACTGGCAGTTCCTGCCCCAGAACTGGCACCTGCTGGGGTGGAGGCTGGGCACACAGCTAACAGAGGCGTGGCTAGTCACCTGCCTCAGAGTCCTGGGCTCCCTGGACTCTGGCCAGGCCACAGTGCTGAGACCACCCTGGGCATCAGCTGAGGCTGGAGAGCTGCCCAGCCTACTCACGCCCACGTACTCAGATGCCCCAGGACACCCTGCTCTTGTCCCTGACTCTGGTCTTACCCTGAAGGGGCTGAGCAAGGTGTCCCCACCCCCACAGCATGACCAAGCCCAGCACCCACAGCCTTCACCCCACCTCTGCCCAAGGAGTGGGAGAGCTCAGGAGGGCTGCCCAGTCCTCAAGGCTGCCACCATCAGTAGGAGCTTGGAGTGGGGGTGGGGGAAGGACCATGAGACACACCAGTGCCTGGGTCCCATATACCTGCCAAGGACACTCCCAGAACCTCCGGGGACCATGTGAGTAAGGACAGGGCCTGTCCAGCCACATCCAGCTGCCTCCTGGAGTGGCCACGCATCCTGGCTGGAGGTGGGCTGGGCTGGGCTCCTAACCACTCCAGGGGACACAGCGTCCTGAGGTGCAGAGGGACCACAGCAGGAGGTGGGGCACTTGAGTGATGAGGCCTGGCCCTTCCCCTCGGCCACAGGGAGGACAGCGCAGAACCACAAAATACTCTTTAATCCTCTCCCAGCAGCTTTGGGGCCGGCCTCAGTCCTGCTCAGGGGGCGGGGCAGGGATATCATCCAGAGGGTCCATGGGGTCGGTCCCGAGGCTCTGATCATCCAGCATGGCAGCCTCCAGCTCAGTGTCCATGAGGTGGGACTCCACACGCACTGTGCGCAGGGCCATGTGGTCCTCCTGGATCCCATAGTGACCCCCCAACCTGCCGGGACACCAGTGGTCAGGTGGCCAGGGGTCACTGGCAGATGCGCCTAGGCAACCCGATCCAGACACCACCAGGAGCCACTGCCCGGCCCAGGCCCACTCACCTGCTGTCCTCATGTCCAGGGGGACTTGGGTCAGAGTCACTGGGGGATAGAGAGGGCTGGTGAGTCCCAGGCTGTACTCAGGCCCTCACATCCCTCCCTCCTTGGGAACCAGAGGAGCCTCTTGGGCAGGAGGCACCGAGGCGGGGTAGCCAGGGCACGCACCACTTGGCCCGCATGATGCCCACCACCACGAAGACCAGGGCGCAGAAGCAGCTCGCGCTGATCCCGGCCAGCACTACGAGCAGGGCAATGAGGGCCTCTCGGCTGAGGCCGAGGCTGCACTCACAGTAGGTCACAGCTGCAGACAGATGTGGGCAGTGAGGTGGTCACTGATGGTGGGGGGAACCCCTAGGCCCTCCCCCAGCCCTGGTGGTCACTGCATGGGCCTCAGCGTAGCCTGCTCCTCCTGGGCGAGGATGGGGCCCTAGGGTTGGGGGAGGGAGGAGGCACCTGTGGCGGGCTTGAGGAAGAGGGACAGACATAACAAGCTGAGGGGGCTGCCTGCCAGGCAGGAGGGCTGGGGAGGCAGGGCCATGTCCAGCCCCCAGCCCCACGAACACCTGTGGGCAGAACTTTCCGGAAGGCGCTGACCTCACAGTGGGCGCTGTGAGGCAAAGTGGGTGGGGGCAGGGCCCAGGGTGCCTGGGTCACCTCCTGGAGTCTGGCAAGCAGCTTGGAATGAGGCAGGGCCCGGAGAGCCCACCTCTCAGCCGAGACTGAGGTTAGCGGAGGGCATCGCTGAGAAAAGGGGTAGGGTCACGCCGGGACCCTGGGGGTGGGGCTGAGGTCCACACCTCTGTCCTGCCCCAGAAGAGCGACTGCAGTGGGTTAGGGGCTTGTGGACCTGGAGGGGGGCCCCCAACCTGTGAAATCCAATGGGCCCCAGGCCTGTGTCCATGCAAGGCCCCACCTCCGGAACAGATCACCCCCAAGAGGTCCGGGAGCCGCCCAGCATACCAGCCACAGGCCTCCCTACCGGCAACCCTCCTTCCAGACAGGTGGCCCAGAGGTGGCTGCGGGTGCCGTCTGTCTGTCCGGGACTCCCTCCTGCTTAACAAACATGTCATTAAAGTTACATAAGAGTAACAGGCCTTCAGACGATCTGTGTCTCTGCCCTGAAGTCACCCACCCTGGGGTTCCACGCCCCATCCTGCCCATATGCCCACCCTCCCCCACCCCACCCTCGCCCAGCTCTTGCCAACCAGGAGAGGGGACACTAGCTTGAAAGGGACCTTGGCCACCTCCTGGAGTTTGTTGTTACTGGCCGGGATGCCAAGTCCCCTCCCTCACCACCTTGGGTTGTCCTGCCTACCCTCCCACCCCCGCAGCAGGGGCCCTCCTGCCCCAAACCTGCCGAGCAAACCAGAGGCCACAGGAAGGCACGCCCAGGCTCCGGAGGAGGCTGCCCGGCCTCCTGCCAAAGCAGCAGCCCCTCAGGCCACCAGGGTGGGGGCTCAGCCTGGGGACCCCACTGCTGACACAGGTGGCACCTCTGCCGCGGGCCCCAGCCTCAACCTGTGTGCTGGGACCTGAGGCAAGCCCTGGTTTGGAAGGTCACCTTTTGGGTTCATGTTTGAAAAGCAGGTCCACAGGGGCCTGGGGCAGGTGTGCCCAAGCTAGAGGCTGGCGCTGCCCCTTGCCAAGCCTGTTTGGCAGGTTTTGTCCTAAAGAGGACGGTGGGCACTCCGCCCAGGGATTGTGCTGGCCTCTGACTTGCAGGAAGGCTGGGGACAGGGGAGCCTGAGGAACAGAAAGGAGGCAGCGGCTTGCCAGGTTCCCCAATAGGGAGGGCACACAGTAGCCAGGGAGGCCCAGAGAGGAGCGAGGTGTTGCAGACCCAGTCCAGGGGTCACGGCCTCCCAGCTCCCTTCCCCCTAGTGGCCAGCCTGGCCTAGGCCCATGAGTATTGGGCTGAGCGTGCTTCTGTGGGAGCTGCCCACCTTTCTTGAAGGCACGTGTCTAGTGTGGCCCTTGTGAAGGCAAGACAGACACGAAGGCAAGATAGAAGGTGGACAGACACTGGGTCCTCTTGCTACCCAAGTTGGAGTCCTGGGCTCAGAATTGCGGCCTCACTGGAAGCCGCAGTGCCCCATCCCCTGCTGCCCGCTGGGCTCACAGGTGAGAACGAGGCCAGGGGCCCTGCAGGTAGCGAGCAGCCTAACAGTCCGGCGGCGCCTCCTGGTGTGCTCGGCCAGAACCACAGGCCAGGCCACCCGGCATGGAGGGGGAGTGACTACCAGGCATATCCTGCCCACTGGCCCTGCCCTCGGGTCTTAGGGGACATTGAGGAAGTCCTGCGTATGGATTCTTTCCCAAGGGTCCGCCCTGCTCTCTGCACCGCGGGGTTTTATGTGTTGCCACCCGGGTTGTGGCAGAGGCACCGTCCGTCCTCCCATCCCCTCGTGCAGGTAGGCAGTGTTGGCTGAACGAGGTTTGCAGACAGAGTAAGGGGTGCCTGGGATCCGGAAGAAATGTATGTTCCCAGCAGGTAAGCTGCCACCGTGTGAACCTCCATCTGGCCCAGGCTCAGGCTCTCCCCGTAGGATCCACATACGAGTTAATGCCTGTCACGGCCAGGGTGCCCGGGCCTGACCTGCCCCTCACCCCCATGCCTGCATCGCCCCTTCTCTGCCTGCACTGTGAGGGCTGCTCTCCAGGGCCCCAGTGCACCCTCCTTCCCAGGGCCCACCCCAGAAAGTCGCCAAGCCAGGGAGGGGGCAAGGAGCCAACAGGTTTTAATTTGTAGAGGCAGCGCCTACATGGGCGTGTGTGTGTGGATGCGGGGGTGCACAGGCGTGTGTAGACGGCTGTCAGCTGCAGTTCTTGGGCAGGCGGTAGACCCCGGCTGAGTAGATGAGCTGGTGGTCACGCACCTTCTTCTGCAGGTAGCCCTGGAGCTCCTGCAGGTCGATCTCGGCCAGCGCTGGGCCGGTCATCACGAACATGCGCAGCATGCTGTAGATGCGCTCCAGGGACAGGCTCTCCAGGTTGGTCAGCATGGCTTGGATGTAGGTCCAGAAGAGCTGGGCAGAGAAGCGAGAGACACGGGGTGTTGGCGCCACACTGCGGTAACCTCCCCTCTGACCTGAGGACCTCACCCCACAGACTACTGGTCCCTGGACCCTCCCGGTCCCCTGGGCCCTCCCTCCCCACCCTGCACACAGACTCCCCCACACCCTCCTGGCCCTCGCACCAGCAGCTCCTCCTCCTTCTGGTCAGCCTGGGAGGCCATGCCCGAGTCGCTCTCGTCATCACTGTCCATCAGCACCATGTTGTCGCGGTCCTGGGGCCGCTCTTCCTCGATGACGGAGAAGGTGCCAGGAGGCTCCTCCCGCAGCACGCCCTGCTGGAGCCACACCGCCATCCGCCGCCGCAGCAGTGCCGCCGGCATCTTCGCCGCCTTGCTCAGCTCCTCCAGGCTCCAGCTGGCTGGGTGCGGGCAGCAGGGACGCTGGGGCAGGTGGGCCAGGCCTGCCCCTCCTGGCTCCACTCCCCTCCAGCCCCAGCCCTGCTGGCCCAGCCTGGAGTGTTGGGGGCTCACCTCGGTCCTGGAAGTGCAGCAGGATCACAGCCTGCACAGGTGTCACAGCCACGGACAGCGTGCGGTCGGTCAGTTCCACGTCCATGGTCACCAGGCCCAGCGTGTGCTTCCAGCTGAGGGTCCGCATGGCCTGCGGGGGTCAGGGTCAGCCACACACCTGGCTGTGGGGCAGTCCCCCCCAACACACACAGCTGCCAGGCCAACCGCAGGCAGTACCTTCAGCTTCTCGTACTTCTTGCAGTAGACGTCCAGGGCCTCCTGGATGTCCTCGGGGACCTCCAGCTTCTCATCCTTGAAAGGCGGCCAGAACTCGCTGGACAGGATGACCGCGTAGACCCCGAAGGGGGGCTGCTGCTCGGCGGGACGCTTCTCATCCTCCTCGCGGATGTTGGCGTTGATGCGTCGGGAGTCGGCCATGTCCTGAGGGCACACACAGGGCGGGCACATCACCAGGGGCTGGACCAGGAAGGGCCCAGAGGCAGAGCTGGGGCGGGGGCAGGCCGGGTTGGGGGGTGCTGCGGGGTGGCCCTCACCTTCAGCATGACCTCGCAGAAGTGCATGGGTGCCTCTCCAAAGCGCAGCTTCAGCAGCTCCACGTTCCGGATCTCCCTGGAAGGGGCAGCCTCTCTGGGGTGAGGACGCCCGCTGGTTCAGGCCCTACACCCACCTCCCCACCTACAGCCTCGGCCAGCCTCCCACCAGCTTAGCCTGGCCATGCTGGGCCTCTGTGGCTCACGGGTGGGGGTCTGGCTGAGGCTGAGGCCAGCGGCGGCCGCTCACCGCTCAGGGCTGAAGCTGAACTGGTGCAGGAGCCGGTCGGCCAGCAGGGAGCGGTACTCGTTGATGAAGAGGTCCTTGCTGCCGTAGATGCTGACCAGCAGACTGATGATGTCCGAGGAGCGCCGCCGTGAGCTCGACTTTCCTGGGGTCACAACACAACACTGACCCTCCGTGCCACCTGCCCGCACCTTGCTGTGGCCAGGACCCAGCCTGCTCACAGGGCGCTCCCAACCACAGGGTCCTTTTTTGGGGGTGACCTTTCAGTGACTCCATTTGGGCAGGTGCAGGCCATTCAGAAGCCAACCCCTGCACCCAAGCAGCTGTCTGCAAACGCCCAGTGCCCACCCAGCAAGCCTCTCCCGACAGTGAACAAACATGGTGGTGCCACTCTGAGCACCTGCGGTCGGGGCTGGCCCAGTACATGGCAATGCAGCCCACACAGCCCCATCCCACAGCACAGCTCCCAACACAGCCCATAGCCCCCAACCCCCACCCCACCCCACAGCACAGCCCCCAGCTCCACAGGCTCCCAGTCCCCAGCGTCACAGCCCCCAGCTCCCAGGGCCATGCCAGCTGGTAGAGGGGTGGGTGGTGAGCGGACCTGGGTCAGCATCCACGGGGTCAGGGACCCAGTCCTCAGGCTCCCCGGAGTCATCCTCACTGTCCTGGCCAGTCTCTAGGCTCGTGGGGTCCGTCTTGGACAGCTCGACGGCTAGGTCCCCAGTGCCGTCAGAGTCCCCAGTGAGCCCAGCCACAATCTGCCGCACTGTGTCCTCCCGCGTCCTGCAGGGTGAGCATGTGCACAACTCAAGCCCAGGGGCTGCCCGCTGCCAAGTCGGCACACAAGGGAGGCTGGGGTCCGGGTCCCAGGGGCAGCTCACCTGAGGTAGCGGCGCACGGGCTCACAGGCCACCTCCAGGAGGACCATGGAGGGGTCCAGCACACGCAGCGCCTTGATGGCCGAGATGTAGAGCGTGATGATGTCGCACGTGTTCACACCTGAGGCAACAGGGGCGCTCACAGCCAGACAGCCACACCTGCCAGTCCCGGGGCAGCAGTCCTGGCTCACAGGAGGTTCTTAAGGCCACGCCCCCCATGCTGTCAGTGCTTCGGGGCAGGGCAGAGCAGAGCCATGGTTGGGGACAGCACCTGGGTGCAGGAGCCGCGTCTCCAGGGCTGCTCTGAGCGAGTCAAGCAGCTGCTGCCTCTGGTTGGTCCTCTCCAGGCAGTACCTGAGGTCCTCCACTGCCGGCCGGGAGTCTGGGAAGTCTGCAAGCAGGGCATCCCCATGGCGGACACGGGACACCATATGTGGGCAAGGGGCCACCAAGCTTTGCTGAGCAGCCTCCCACAAGCCCAACCGCTCCTAGACAGACAAGGAGACCCGATACAGGTGGACGAGGACTGGGGAGGTGGCAGTGGGTAGAGGAGGCCTCAGGCAGGCAGGCAGGGAGGAAGGGAGGGAGGGAGGCAGGGCAGGCGGACCTCGGACGATGCTGAAGAGCTCCTCCACCCGCAAGCCGGCGTAAGTGCGGTAGAAGAACCTCTGTAGGTGGCACCGCCAGCGGCGCAGCGTGGTGCTGGCCTCAGGGGGCGTGGGCCTCGCAGGGCCCTCCTGCAGGAACACCTTGCCGAGCCAGCCAACCATCCTCTCGATCCACTGTGGGGTGGGCACAGGCATGGGCCTGGGGCTCAGGGAGCACGTCCCTCCACCCCGGGTGTCTGCTCCAAAGTGGAACCGCAGGGGGGATGCCGGGAAGTCCCACCCTGCCAGCACCCGGGGCCAGCTCATCATGCCCACACAGGACCACTTTGACTTCTCTCATGCTCACCTTTGTTCTCGGGGGCGGGGGGATGGGCCCTTGGCAATGGCAGGTGGAATTGGGGGATGGGGAAATAGTCCCAGCTGTTCGCTCGCTCCAGACCAGCCCCACAAGCCCACCTTGCCAGACGCTGCCCTTCCGTTCCCTCACCCAAACTCTTCTCTTCTGTTGTGCTGGCTCCAGGGATCAATGTCTGGGGGGGGCCCTGGAGCCCACACTCAGGGCAGGCAGCAAAAAGAGGGGGAGCTGCCCGTCCCTGTCTGGAGGGTCAGGCCACACTGCTGCTTAGCCACTCTTGGGCTCCCAGCCCACTGAAGCCTGGTGCGCTGGGAGAAGGGGCAGGGATCCTGTAGGGCCTGGGGGGCAGAGCCCGGGGCAGGGCCCTCTCACCTTGTGGAACTCCCGCAGGAAGGAGCGTTCATACTCCCCGCGGCAGCGGTCCTCCATCCTCTCGCGGGTCACCTGGTGCAGCGTGGTGGTCACAGCCTCGGCACACACTCGCTCCAGCAGACTGAGCCTGTGTCTGGGTGGCAAGCACACGGAGCGTGACAGAGCGCCCCGGCCGGGACCAGGGCACACCTCCCTCTCAGCCCTCCTGGCGCAGCCGTGCCTGAGGCCCCATGGGAAGGCTGCTGAGGCCGCGCCGGGCAAGGTGCCACTGGGCCGTCCAGAAGTGTGATGGCCAGCAGAGACCCACAGCCCACCTCCCTGTCCTAACTCAGAGGAAGCAACTACATGCGTGTTGCCGTGACCCTGCAGATGGCTCTGGGCTGAGGGCAGAGAAACCCAGGAAGAGCCTGACTGGTGCTCTGTTGGCTTTGCCATGACATTCCACTGTGTGGATCCCAACAAACTACTGGGAGCCTTGAGGAGAAGGGGAATTCCAGAACACTTCATTGGGCTCACGTGGGACCTGTACAGGGATCAAGAGGCAGCTGTGCACACAGAACAAGGGAACACTCCATGATTTGAGAACCAAGAGATGTGTGTGTCAGGGTCATATTTGCCGACCATACTTATTCACGCTACTTTGTGTGCTGAGCAGATAACCTGAGAAGGTGGACTACGTGAAGACGAACATGGCACCAGGGTGAGAAGGAGGTTTGTTAACGGCCTGTGATGTGCAGGTGACACAGCCGCGCTTGCTGAAGCGAAGAGGACTTAAAGCAGTTGCTGATGAAGATCGAGGACGGCAGCCTTCAGTGTGCATCACAACATCCTCACAACTGGGTCGACAGGTAGCATCATGATAAATGGGAATAGGGTTGAAGTTGTCAAGGATTTTGCCTTATTTGGGCCGGCAATCAATACTCGTGGAAGCAGCGGTCAGGAAGCCAAAAGATGTACTGTGTGGGTAACCCTGCTGCACGAGACCTCATTCACATTTTGAAGAGTCAGGTACGGCTTTGAAGGTCACGGTGCCCTGGGCCCAGACCATGGTCTTTTCACAGCTGCCTCATCTGCATGCAGAGCTTAAGCAATGAATAGGGCAGACTGAACACAAGGGACACATTTGAGTCTGGGTGCTGGCGGAGAATACTGAAAGTACCAGGAGCAAACAAATCTTCCTCAAAACTACAACCACAGTGATCCTTAGAAGCAAAGACAGCAGCCGTTGTCTCACACTTTGGACATGTCAGGCGAGACCAGTCCCTGGAGAAGGGAAAGTGGAGGGGCAGCAAAAGAATAACTCCCTCAAGGAGATGGACTGACAGAGCAGCTGCAGCAACTGCAATCAGAACCACTGTGAGGATGGTGTGGGGCTGAGCAGTGTCTCCTCCTGCTGTGCACAGGGTCACCGTGAACCATAGCAACCAGCAACACCCCCACCACGGAAACACAGGAGCCACCACAATGCCTCCGGCTCAAACCTAGTCTAGGGAGACAGACTTAGGAGCAGGGGCCAGGCCACCTTCAATTGGGACGCACCCAGCAGAGTGCCTGGGGACCTGCGGGATGCAGGGGGCAGTGGGACTCCTCAGACAGCCGCATCTCGGGCTCCTGCTCACCAGACCCTCTGGGACCTGGAGGGAGGGCTCGCCCAGTAGTGCCTGGCTACTGCTAACAGCAGCTCCCTCCAGAGAATGGAGGACATCTGCCTGCTCACCTGACTGCTGGGCTGGCCAGCCTCCCTGTGACATAGTGCAGAGAGGAAATGGTGACACCTGTCCACAGCCCACCACCTCCCACAGGGGCCGTGGCAGTCCTTCCCAGGCAGGGATGGTCTGCAAGTCTGGGATCGACAAAGAAAACTGCTGGGGTCACCTGGCTGGAGGCCTCTCCTTGTGTCAGTGCATCAAACTCAGGGTGAGGGTGAAAGATACACCTGGAGGTCCCTGTCCTCAGGGATGTCCCTGGCTCTTGGGACAGAGAACATGGGGACCCCATCTCTGGCCCTGGCCAGCTCACCAGCTCTGTCCTCAGACCCCAGGGTGCCACCCTGAGGAGCTGCAGCAGGGCTCGCTGGAGTACTCACAGGACCTGGCTGAGCTGCTGGAACTGCTCCAGGGCCTGGCGGCACCAGCACTGCTGCTTGTCGCTGCCACATCCAGCGCACAGCGGGCTCTGCAGGAGCCGGTAGTAACGACGGCGGGCATACCGGCTGTCCAACTCCCCCTCCAGTTCTGGGTCTGTGCCCCCATCCCCCTTCCTCTTGCTCTGCATGTACACTCTCAGGAAGCGTCCATAGAGGCGCTGAACCATCTCCTGGAAGGCCCGGGGCGTGGAAAAGAACAGGACGCCCCGCAACATGGTGTGGACTTTTTCCCGCAGCCCCTGGGCGCCAGTGCCCATCAGCAGGCCCAGGCGAGTCCATTTCTCCAGGAGCTCCAAGCTGCGCAGATAGGGATCCAGGCGACTCTCCAGCAGGCCGAATGCGTCCAGGAGCAGCAGGAGACACTGGGGTTCATCTGCAGCGTTCTTGCGCTGGGAGATGGCATTCCAAAACTCGGGGGAGATGTTGGCCTGCAAGTCGTTCTGCAGCACCTCCACAAACCACTCCTCCAGGACCGAGTGCAGACCGTGGCCCTGCAGAACCTCCACGGCCGCCCGGAGCTCTTCCTCCTTCGCCTGCACCCCGCCGCTGGTCCGAGAGGCCGCCTGCAGTGCATACTACCGTGAGCAAAGGGAAGGGGACACATGCGGGGAAGGTATGGAGGGGGAGGGGGGGAGCGGGAAAGGGCAGGGGAGAAGCTGCGGTGACCCCGCTGCTGCTCGTCTGAGGCACTTGGATTTGCGGTCGACACTAGGGGAGGGCTGGCAGGAGAGCCGACAGCGGCTGGGCTGTGGAGAGGAGGGAGCGCAGAGGCGGGCGGAGGGCGGAAGTGGACGTCCCCAAGCGACCCCGAACGAGCGAGCGGGCCCCCCAGTCTCTCCTGGGCCTCACCAGCCCCAGCGCTGCCGGCGGCACCAGCCCGGTGCTCACGGTGCTCCAGGCCACCAACAGCTCCCGCCCCGGCGCGGGGTCGCAGTCGCCTTCCGTCCCTCCTGCCTCCGCCGCCATCTGGAGCCCGCGGCGGCCAGGTCGGCCCAGCCCAACGCGGCCCGATGACGTACCAGCCGAGCGCAGCGCGCTTCGACGAAGCAGTGCCCGGGCGCGGCGCGGCGGGATGACGTAAGAGGCACGCGGTGATGACGTCGTCGGCCGGCGCGCGTCATCGCAGGGCGCCGGCGGCCGCGGCGGTTGGTGGGGCTGGGACCCCGCGTGGTGGCAGCAGCGACGGCGGCGGCGGCAGCAGCGGCACAGACGTCGGGCGACGATGAGCCAGCAGGGAGCGGCGCTGCAGAACTACAACAACGAACTGGTCAAGTGTAAGCAGCTCCCCGCGCGGCGGTGCCGAAGACGCCGTTAGGAGGACCGGGCGGTGCGCGCGGCCGCGGGCAGGCTCCGTCCCGAGTCCCTACGTGCGTCTGCCGGGCCCGGAGTAGGCACGGCCTCACATCGGGACCCACCTGTTGTCCGAGGGCGCGGACGCGGGGCGGGGCGCGGTGCCCGGTGCCCAGAGAGCGCTAACCGTCTCCGGGACCCAGCGCGGTTGCTCCGTGCACCCTTCTGCCCAGAGAGGCGGGGCTTGGGGCCAACTTGGCGGGAAGATGGCCCAGCGGGGACCCGCTCTCCCTCCTGTGCCCAGGCATCGAGGAACTGTGCCAGAAGCGGGAGGAGCTGTGCCGCCAGATCCAGCAGGAGGAGGATGAGAAGCAGCGGCTGCAGAACGAGGTGAGGCAGCTGACGGAGAAGCTGGCCCGTGTCAATGAGAACCTGGCCCGCAAGATCGCCTCTCGCAACGAGTTTGACCGCACCATCGCAGAGACAGAGGCGGCTTACCTCAAGGTGGGGCTCGGGCTACCCGCCGTCTGGGGGCTTCACAGAACAGACGTTTTTGCTCCCCTCCACTGGGCAGGGTGGCTGAGCCCCACACCAGTGCATGCATGTGTGTAAAGGGGCAGAGGTACCTGTAGACCCAACTACCTGATCCCCTCCCCTCTACCCTGCCCCGCCCCACCCCAAGAGGGATGCCCTAATGCCCAGCTATTTCCTTTGCCCCAGATCTTGGAAAGTTCCCAGACTCTGCTTAGTGTGCTGAAGAGAGAGGCTGGAAACTTGACCAAGGCCACCGCCTCAGAGCAGAAGGCCACCGGGGGCAAGGATGGCTGATGAGGCCATGGATGGGACAGGGGCCTGCTCCCCCACCCTCTGGGCCAGGCAACATGGCCCCAGAAACCTGTTAATAAAGTGCCCTCATTTTCTGTGGTGGCAGCTGCCTTCTCTCTCAGCCTCTAGGACCAAAGGGCAGCTGCTGCCTCTCAGCCCTGGATGAGAAGAGGGCAGCTCCCTGGTGGGGTCTCCCTAGGTGGGGGCCAGGCTCTCAGGGGCCCTGGGCTGCTGGGAGGCCCTGGCTCCTGCCTCACTCAGCACCTTAGTCCTTCCTCGGCCAGCAGGGCCAAGCCGAGAGGGAGTGGTTGGCCCTGCATCACCGCAGAGCTGAACTTCAGAGCATCCGGCCCGGCCCCGTGACTGGGAATAAAGGCTTTCTTGTAAAAGAATTGTGCTGGCCTGTGCCTGTGTCCAGCTCACAGGGCTGCCTGCCATCCCCAAGCCAGCCTCAAGGTGCTGCCTGGCCATGAGGGCAGAGCAGGTAGAAAGGCCCTAAAGTGGTTTTCTTGACCGGAAACCCAGTGTCTTTTAAGGGCTGGAGGGTGAGGATGCCCAGAGCCCCTCTTGTTGCTTCCTGCATAGCTGGGCCCACCCTCTGGCACAATTCTTCTTGTTCCCTAGGGGGTGTGACCCCCTACCCCCACCCCAACTCCCCGGGAGGGAAACAGACACCTGAACCCACTGGCCAAACAGTGTCTGGGCCACCAGCTCTCCAGTGGGGTACAGCTGGGGAGTCCACTCACCCATCACCTCTCACCCTTGGGTCCTCCTGCTGGCACTGGCACCTACCCTGGCATGCAGATAAATCCACCACCCTCAGCCCTGGTCTGCCCAGCACAGCCCTGTGGGTCCAGCTCAGAATGCAGGCCCAGGGCATCCTCCCAGACTGCTGCCAGCTCTGGTGTGGTGGCACACCAGTTGTTCCCAGCACTCGGGAGAGAGGCAGTACAGGGCAAGATGGCGGGGCACCTCTGGCTCGAGCTGCATGGATACCCACCTGTGAGCCTCCCCCGACACCCCGCCCCCATGAGCAGACCATCCAGAGTGTGTCATCAGTGCTATTTATTGAGTTGGCTCCTGCCAGGGGCTTCCTGTCTGCTCAAGGGGTCGTGGGTGCTGGCTGGGCTGGGAGGCCCACCATGGGCCACTGGGCAGGGCAGGGGCAACCTGGGCCAGAGTCCACTCGGGGCCACTGTCCAGCAGCACCCCTGTGGAGCCTGTTCACGGTGGAAGGGGCCCACACAGACCCAAGAGCTGTTGAGTCCCAGCACAGTTCCTGAGCACATGGCTGCTCTGGCAGTCGGTGAGGCTGGGGGGTGGGGGTGGGTAGCCTGGCAAGGGGTAGGGACACAGTGAGGGCAGGCCCTGGGGACAACCCAGTGCCACCTCCAAGCAGGACTCCAGCTGCCGTCCAAGCAGGGTCAGAAGTAGAGGGCTGGCTCGCTGCGGAAGTCAGAGAGGTCACTCTGGCCAGCAGGGGTGAGCTGAGGGGGACAGCAGAGGTGACTGGAGTTGGTCTACCTGGAAGGCACCCTCCCCGGCCACTCGCAGGCCCTGCCCCCACAGCCCCTAAGGGGGCCAGCTCACCATGACTTCCTTCAGGAAGGGCTCCACCTCCCGAGGTGCAGGCTCTGCTGTCTGCTCCTGCCACTTGCTGAAGGCCACTGCGTGCTTTGGAGTGTAACTGGACAGAGCTGCAGTGGAATGGGGCCATGAGGGCCTGGGGGGCCCAGCTCGTCTAACAGTAGCTGTGCACCTAAGCAGACTCTCACCTGAGCTGCTGTCGGGCCCCTCGCTGTGCACCAAAGTGGCCCTGGGCAGGAAGAGAGTGAAAGCCGCTGCCCCAGCCGCACCCTCCGAGCCCGAGCCCTCGGAGTCTGCCTCCTCCTCCTCCAGCCCCTCCGCCCGCAGCAGGGAGCTCTCCGAGGGGTACTCGAAAGTGGTCTGCAGGCTCTTGTCGTTGAAGGAGATCTTCATCTGAGGACAGAGACCTCTGTTAGCAGTCCCTCTATGGGCTTCTGATGTCAGGGCCAGTCATCAGAACCCAACAGTCCACTCTGTCCAAGAGAAAGCCCCTCCAGCGAGCCAAAAGCCTGGCCACTCCCACCTGCTCACCAGCCATTCCAAACCCTGGGCAGCCTGGCTGCCTCACCCCCCATCATGAGGCACCCCCCCCCTTCCCAATGGGACTGTGGAGCCAGCCCCATCCAGATCTGTAGCTCAGGGCAAGAGGTCCAGAAGCTGCTCCTGGCGGAGCCCTACCCCCTCACAAAACCTCCACCACATTGGGGACTCCACCACCCCCTCTCCCGGGCTCCCAGCAGCCCTAGCTGTTGGCTGAGGCCCTCCTAAGGCCGAGTTCATGTCCAAGCTTGCTGGGCACCTGGACAAGCCTGCCTGCCCAGCTGAGCAGGGCCACCGAGGCAAGCAAGGGCCTGGTACTCTTGTGGCCCAAGAGATGCTCGTGCCAGCCCTGGGAGGGTGCCCTGACAGCCAGCCCATAGTTCGCTGAGCTGCTCCTCACCAGCCTCAGCAGAGGGGGACAGATGCTAGCAGAAGGCTCAGGCCACCAAGGCAGTAGGACTTGTCCCCTATTCCCAGTCTGAGGGGAGTGTGGGAGCAAGCATCAGAGCACACCAGACACCAGAGCCTCCTGGCCTGGGGGCTCAGCCCCCCACACACACCAAAGCCTCCTGGCCTGGGGGCTCAGATCCCCTCCCCTCAAGAGCGCCCAGGCCTGCTTGGTGGGTCCGGCTTGGCCGGCTAGTCGGTAATGAATACACCGCAGGCCCGCCCGCCCGCTCACCTGCAGCAGATGGGAGCGGCCCCGCTGGAGTTCGAAATATTAAACTCCACCTGGGCACAGGACACCACCGCCAGCTCAAATTCCTCTCCTCCTCCGGAAGGACCCACCCCCAGGCAGGAGCCGTGGCAGGAGGGACCCTCCAGAGCATGGAGCTCTATCTGGAGGCAAGAAGCAGCTGGGGGGCCCTGTCAGGCCTGGGGAGACACAAGGCTAGCCAGCAGCAGAGTCCCCTCCCCCATGGTCATGGGCTTGGCCCAGAAAGGAGTGCAGGCTGTCAGTCACAGGTGCCCATGCAGTGCCCAACTCCACACAGCCAGGTCCCCTGTGTTCCCAACCACCCAGCATAGCACAGCACAGGGCAACCCAGGCCCCACCCTGCCCTACCCGCCAGCCCACCAAGAGCGTTCCCTCTGGCCAGTTGAGGCCCCAGCATGCATCCCAGAGGGGATGGGGTCCTGGGTCCCTGAACACCCCTCAGATGTGGGGCTCTCCTCCCTCCTAGGCACTGTGCCCTGTGACTCCAAGAAGCCGAGCTGTGTCCACCCCCCCTGCCGGCCGAGGAGTCTGTGAGAGGCCGGGTGCTAGTCCCTGAGTGGATTATTATGCTGCTGTGCACGTGACCCGCCCACAGGGCCAGCTGAAGGGGCTGGGCACATGGCCCGAGACTGACACAGCCTGGCAGAGCAGGATTGGGGGGCCAGGTCACTCCCACCCAGGCTCCAAGCCCCAGCCTGTGGGCCCCAAGTCTCCCAGCCTGAGCTCTCCCCTGCTGGGGCCGGTCAGTAGGTCACAGGACAGCCGTGACTCAGACAGCTGGGCGGGCCTGGGCAGGAGGGTGCGGCTGGGCCTGGCCCTTCTTGCACCTGCCAGCAGGGACTTTGCCCACTGCTCTGGCTGGCGGGGGTGGGGTGGGGGTGGGAGGGTGCACACTGAGCCCCCAGTCTAGCCATGTCAGCCCACAGGGGGCCCCCTGCTGGGGACACCCATCATGACTTTCCACTGCTCTGAGCTGTGGGTGGGGCGCCAGCCTCCTCCCCAACCCCACCTGCAGTAGCTGGCCACCTGGTTCCTTTCACCTTCCTCGTGGCTGCTGCCTGTGCCACACACAGCCCCTGCCAGGTCAGAGCCCCAGCTCCGGGACTTGGGGGATTGGCATGCTGGCTGGGCTCCAGAGAGACCAGGAGGGACCCTGCAGGAGGAGCTGGAAGATGGGGGCTCCAGCCCCAGGCCCTCAGCCAGATGGGGCACCATGGTCCAAGCCCCTAGAGGTGGCTGCCTGGGCAGGGACTGAGGCTTCAGGAAGGGTACATCAGCAGGAAGAACTTAGGGGAGGGTGGCACCTGGGCGCCCAGAGTGGGCCTGGGAGGGTTTAAAGGTCAGCAGTCAGGCTGAGAGCCCAGACCAGGAAGGGCACTGGGCTGTGGGGGGCATACCGTGGTGATGCCCTGTGGGTAGGAACAGGGCTCCGCAGGGGAAGAAGGGCAGGCATTGAGGGAATCGAGGGTCTCTCAGGGCAGTGAGCAGTGACCCCCAGCCTCATCCCAGAGGCCTCCAAGCTCACGGGATGCAGGGAGGGGCTGGGCTCCTCTCAGCGCAGGGCTCTCCATGGCACAGCCCCTGCCACTGAGAACTGCTATCACCCACCTTTGAAAAGGCAGGGATCCGCCAGCCCCAAAGACCCCCATCTGAGACCCTCTGGGGGAGGGAGCGGGAAGGATATCATGGCCAGGGAGGGCAGCTTGGGCCCTGGGACTGTGCAGCCCAAGAGAAGGCATGCGGGAAGGGCCTGCTGTGACCCCACTTGCCCAGTGCTCACTCAAGCTCCATGGCCCACGGGCAGGGTACTCAGGAGAGAGGCATACGTACTGAGCCGGCCCTGCCCCATGCCACATCCACTCCAAATGGGCCCATGTGCTGCTCCACGCCACCAGGCAGCACTGCCCCTGCCCCTGCGCCAGGCCAGGCCCTGCTGGGCCAGGTGGGGCTTCCCCAGGCAGGAAGGCAGACCAAGCTCCCTGACAGTCATGGACTCCAGCCCCAGGCTGGCACAGAGACCACTCCCGTGCATCCACCTGGACCCCAGCCCCAGGCTGGCACAGAGACCAGTACCGGGCA